GTCTTCTGCTAGGAGAGAACTAGTTCATAGCATCCTTTGGTTAAAAGCACAGGTAATCCCAAATGCTGGGAGGTCTGGGAGGGACAGCACATCTCACCGCTGGGCAGTATGCAGCCCCTGCTCACCCCTCCCCTGGGAACCAGAGCCTCCTCTGGTCTCTGATCCCCACTTGAAATTCCCCATGCCTACTGACCAAGAGACCTTGTTCCGGGGGAAAGACTCTAGGGGAGAAAAGAGACAATCATCGTCAAGTTTCAGAATGAAAGTTGGAGTGGCCACAATGTTGAGTGTTGCATTTGGGTCCAGAGGACACGCAAACAGGCCAGTTTTTCTAAGGGCTGCCCAGATAGGTTAGTTCTCTCAGACTAGGTGCCAGAGGAGAGAGCAGGCCAGCTGACGGGAGCCTTCGAGCTGGGGCAGGTACAGTCTGTGCCAGACGCCGGCACATGGGAGGCACATGAGAGAGCTCGCAGGCACTGCTGGGCGCTCATCCACCCTGTGGGCAGCAAGGTGTCTCCAGGGCCGGCACAGAGGGCAGGCTGCACTGCGACCGTGCTCCCTTCTCCAGCTCAGCAGTGGCTGGCTGAGCTATCTCTGAAAGGACCTGTGTGAACAAACAGGCCAGTTTGTGGGGCTCCATCTGACTGGTTGCCTCCCACCTTCTTGCTGATGGGAGAAAGTATCATTACAGCGTAGAACAGAATTCAGTGATTGCACTGAGTTCAAGTTCTGAGACTACCCAGTTAAAGGTGAAGAGAAAGTGACGAATTCCTCTGTGACTACAGAGGAACGGTTGTGTGGTTCGGTCTTCGTATGCAGTGTTCTCGTTCCATCTGGAAATGATACATTTTCTATCAATTTCTCCCATACATATTAAGGAGATCAAGAATTTAATGAACTTAGCTGGTAACATCTCAAGCTGTTATAAATTAGGAAAAATACTTAATGAACACATCAGTGTAGATGACCCAATAAAATCCAGACTCTGTCCCTTTTGTATAAGTATTTCCTTGATTGTTGCTCCAAAACAGATTGGTTAGTCCTGGTTACCAACTGCTTCCATGGGCAGAATTATGCTCACATGTTCTACAGCTACAGACAATACAAAAACGTTTTTTAAGAAGGACAAGAAATTTAAAACAATTCGAGGGGAAATTCACATATTAGTGGTTTCCTCTGTGCTGGCGTCTCCCTCATTCACCTGCCACCCTCCCTTGTCGAGGTCAGTGAGACCCTCGCTGAGCCCCCGAGGAAGCGTGCTCAGAGGGGTGCCCCATGCAAGAGCTGTAGGAGTGGACACTGTCCAGCTCGGTGCGACTCCAAACCTGGGCTTTGCGCCTCATCCCGCTGTGGGAGCTGCTTGCTAAAGTCCACGTTGCCCTGCAGGGGAGAAGGATGCTAGCCCGTTACAGCAGATGCAGATGGCGAGCAGGGTCACCATCAGTGAAACATTTTTCTAGTGTACAGTCATTCCGGCGTAGCCCATGGGCAGGTGCTCAGGAGAATGCATGGAATGAGTGCCTCGACCCTTTCTTTCTAAGACCAGTTGACTGAGATCCAGGACGCTGCTGATGGCAAACAACATGAGCACCACGTCTTCACAGGGGCAAGTGAGTAAAGAGCCAGTTTTCATTTGTGAGTTCCTCAAGGTCTACTCTAAGTTACTAATTCCACGTCACCTCATAAGTGTAAGGTTCTACGTTCGGTTGGTTGTGCTAGTAATGTTTATTTTAACTAGCACTCTTGGCACACCCTTTCTTCTCTTCTCCCTCAGAACCACTCCCAGCTGGACAGTAAGATACTCTAGGTTTTCCCATCAGACAGTGAACAGCACCTTCCAAATGGTCCCCATGAGCGACAGGCAGCACCACGGATGCACCTGCTGTTCCCACAACACTCATGTAAGCGGCCAGCAGACTCGCATCCTTCTATTCACATTAAGATGCTTAACTGCAGTCAAACTGTGCAGTTTTTATTAAAAAGCGGTTCAAGTTTACGTGTGTATATATGTATGTCTCCCTAGAAGTTAGGTGTTTTTTAAATTGAGGTATAATTGACATATAACATTATATTAGTTTGAGATGTGAACATAATCCATTTGTTTATATTGTGCAATGATCACCACAATAAGTGTAGTTAACATCCGTCACCACATTATAGTTAGAAAATTTTTTCTTGTGATGAGAACTTAGAAGATTGACTCTCTTAGGCACTTTGAAATATGAACATGGTGTTATCAACTCTAGTCACCATGTTGTACACTATATCCCACGACTTATTTTGTAACTGGAAATTTGTGCCTTTTGACCCCCTCCACCCATCCCTCCCCCACCTTCAGCAACCAGTCTGTTCTGTTATCTATGAGTTCTGGGGATTTTTGGGTTTTGTTTTTAGATTCCACAAACAAATGAGATCATATGGTATTTGCCCTCTCCAACTTATTTCACTCAGCATAATGCCCTCAAGCTCCATCAGTGGACACTTGGGTTGTTTCCATGTCTTAGCTATTGTAAACAATGTGGCAATGAACATGGGGTGCGGATGTCTTTTCGAGTTAGTTTTTGTTTCCTTTGGATAAATACCCAGAAGTGGAATTGCTAGATCATGTGGTAGTTCTATTTGTAATTTTTTGAGGAACCTCCACACTGTTTCCCACAGTGGCTGCACCAATTTCCACTCCCACCCACAGTGCACGAGGGCTGCCTTTTCTCCACATCCTCCCAGCACTTCTGTCTTGTCTTTTTGAGAAAAGCCATCCTAACAGGTGTGAAGTGATATCTCGTTGTGGTTTTGATTGGCATTTCCCTGATGATTAGCAATGATGAGCATCTTTTCACGTACCTGTTGGCCATCTGTATGTCTCCTTTGGAAAAATGTCTATTCAGATCCTCTACCCATTTTTAAATAGGATTTTTTTTTGCTCTTGAGTTGTATGAGTTCTTTATCTATTTTGGACATTAACCTCTTATCAGAACCAGAAGTGAGGTTTCACAGGGCAGCTCTTAAAATTCCCCCGGTTTCCATGTATGAAAGACGACATTCTGTGTCAGACATAGGAAAAGTAATTTGTAGAACAACTATGTCATGTGGAATTTAAGTTTCTCTTTTCTGTCAAAACCATGCATTACTCCCCTCATGACTTTTCCCCTTGAAAAGGAAAGCCACAGACATCTTGTTATTGCTCACGAGCCCTTGATGAGAGGTTTTCGTATTGTTGCAGCCTTAGAGCAAACTACAGAGGAAAATAGTATTGTCCTTAGGACAGCTGTGGTTGTGAAACAGTTCAAAGGTGCCTTCCAGCTAAACAGGTAGCTGCCGGCAACCCTAGCAACCAAACAAAAACCAGGGAGAAAACACCGCTTTGTAAGGACCAACGTGCCAGCTGTGACCTCACAGAAAGGCTCTTCTTTCCAGAAAGAAAGCCGACCCATCCTCCTCTCTTGGCACACAGTTCAGCTCCGAGCTTGCTGCAGCAAGGAGCCACGTCACTCCCAGATCCAACAGAAGCAGGGGTGGGAGGAGCGTCCCTCTGCCCACAGGCCCCGGGATGCTTCCCTTGCTCTCTCCCTCCGGGGGGCTCTTGACTCTCCTTCCCCGGCAGTCCTGCCTGCACAAAGCAGGAATTTGGCAGAATGGGCCAATAATGTGCCCTGTGTCATGACACCAAAGTTATGTGGGGAAAGTTATTCTGTAAGAAATACAGAAAACTAAGAGGGGACCAAGTTTGTGGAAGGAACAGCTGCTCAGAGGATCCACAAAGCCCGCTCTTCCAACATGGTTTACTCACTCCTTGTCATAAAAACGTAGAGGAGGAAGAGCCGAGGGAGCAGGACCCGAGCGGGCTCCGTGTGCTTGCTGTTCACTTAACAAACAGACTTTGATTATGAATCAGTTCCTTTCTAGGTTCCAGAAGAGCCAATGTGTCACTGTAACTTTTTTTCCCCCCAAAAGCAGCAGTTAAACGGCACCTTTTTTTGGATGTCACCCCATTTGGTTGGATTTTCTAGTTAACGCCTGAAAAGAGCATGGAGGCAGTCAAGACAGTTGTAACTACTTGGTTCATGTACATTAAGAAAACTCAGATAATTTTCAAATGAATATGAAACCTTTACAACAAGTAGGTCTCCTGAACATAATGTGCTTTACTCCCCTGGTTCAAGTTTTTAGGATGAAAATGAAGAGGAATTGGAGAGGTTCCAGAGGATAGTAATGAAAATGATTAAAGGGCCGATGATGAAAGGTTGGAGGACTTGGGGTTACTTAGCCCGGAGAAGAAAAATTGGAGTGTGATTTAACGGCAGTCTTCAAGTGCAGCAGGCGGAGGGTGATTACAAGCGTGGCAGCAGCTGCGCCCCAGCTGTACTGAAGGTTGAAAAAAGGAAACAACCAGAGTATCAGCAAGAAATTTAAGTTAGACCAGTGATATCGATAGTTCTAACTAGCTCAACGATGGAAAACCACCGCGGAAGACCACGAAATAACTGATGTTTTAAACTTAAAACAGTTTTTGCTAAATCAGATACCAACTTATATGCTAGTATAATAAAAGCTTAAAAGGAAAATTATGGAATACAAACTCAAAATTGGGAAAATAGTGCCTTTGGGGAAACGAGTGGGAATTAAAACCTTCAGCACAGGGACACCTTGATTTGGGGAGCCCGGTTTGGGAACCGGTGAGCTACGACCATGGAAAGCACCTGCACACTTGCCGTGAGAGCCTGAGGCTGACGGCTGGAGCCCCGAGGGACGAGCATCAGTCCCGCCTGAATGTGCTGACTCCCTCCTTCCCTTTGGCCCTGATTTAGAGCCACACCTGGGAAAAGAGGCGGCTGGGTCCTCGCTGTGCAGGTAACTTGGAGGACTGCCTGTCCCGGAGACAGGCGTTGGCCCGTCCCTGGAGAAGGCTGCCCCAGCAGCGGCCCCGGCATGGACAAGCCGGTTCCGGCCTGGCCTGCGGATTAGTTCACCACCACCAAATCCACTCTTTAAAAAAATGACACTTCTTTTCTTAATGTTTTATTACAAAGCTTCTTTTAAAAAATGCTCAGCACATTAACTCAAACTGGAATGACAAACGTTAGATGACAGTTTGGGGCGAAGGCTGTGCCTTGCTATTTAAAAAAAAATGGGTACATCATTGCTCATTTTAACAACTGGCATAAAATCCCACTAATCGGTTAATAAAAACAGATACAAATACAGAACATTTAAAGTAAGAACAATTCAAGTGCTGGGCTTTTTACAACAAGGGGCAAGAAGGAAGGAAATGAAAATTCACTGCAAACGGGTCGGCTGAGAATATCTGGGAAAGTTTACTGTTTAAAAAAAGAAGAGATCGGCAGAAAATAAAACGAAACAGGACTCCGCCTGCTCCCAGCAGAGTGGACGTGGCTGTTGCAGTTACGTGGCTCTGCCGAACACTCGACCAAGAGGGAGGCCACGAATCGTGACAGGTGATCACAGAGAAGCCACTCATCGGATAAGATGTCGCTCAAAAAAAGACTTCTTTTCATTTCGTTTTTATTTGAAACTTTTCCAGATTTTTGAATTTTACTTCAAAGCTCATAGCTAGCAAAATATACAACAGAGAAAGTTAAAACTAAAAAGTGTAAATTAAAAAAATTCAAGTTTAAAAAAAAGAAGCAAACAAGATTGATCCTTTTGCACTGTTAAAGAAAAGCTTGAGAAAGGAGGCCAAAGAGAAACGAAGAGGCAAACGAAGAGGGAACTCCTGCACCAAATCCCCCGCGGGGTCGCAGGTGGGTGTGCGGGCTGCCTGCTCCAGCTGCTCGAGGCAGGCGAACGCAGAGTTACTGTCCTCGCCCAAGGGTTCAGGTATGGACGCGAGATGCTCTGGGAAGTGCACGGCGGAGCTGAGGGGGAAAGCTGCTCAGCTGACCCAGGGCCTGCCAGCATTCTCATGTGCTTTTTACTTTTCTTCTAAAAAATCCTTTACGCTTTATTTTGGAACTTGGCTCTTGCAGTAGATGAAGGGGGGTTGGCAGTGATTGTCTTTGTGGATCAGCGTCTCTAGCAGTGACCTCAGGGTGAAGTTGGTGTCAATTCTCCTTTGGGGTCGACTGGGCAAGCCCTGGACACAGTCTGGGTTTTCAACAAGCTTCCATCTCCAGTAGAGGCCCCGGGGTCGCTGCCTTGGCTTTGCACGTCGGGAATGAGCTTCGTTTTCCACCTCGAGAGGGAACAAATGAAACGCTGTTAGTGTGAATCTGCCACAGGCCCGTAAAAGAGTTTAACCTCCGTCACACGCAGCACGCGTCTTAAGACCCCCGCACGTCATGACTCCACTTCACTGACTTGGTGGTGGCTAACCCAGACTGCCCTGCGGTAGCCCCAAAGCCTCGGACCACGTTAGAGAATGAGGACACTTCGCTGCAATGTTCACTTTGGTTCTGTGTGTGTGTCTATACGTACGGGGTTATGATGTGAAGTGCACTGAATGAGTCACGGTACGAAGAAACGTGTTTGGAAAACATCAGCAGGGTACGGCCAAATGTGAATCAGAACGGCAGCCAATGGCCAGATCAGGGGAAGATGGGCCCTTCTCAAGTGTCTGGACTTTTTAGTCCACTGTGGGGAGCTGTCGTGTGGCTTTACACAGGACGAGGCCACACTTGGAGCCGGCGCACCGCACGCTCCGCCACGGGCTGTGCCCGCTCCACTCGTCTTCAGTGCGAGGAGCACGAGCTGCTCGATTTTGACTTAAGACTTTGCAATTCTCCAGATGCGTTTCCTTCACAACTGGGTTCTCTGATGGCAGCCCTGGCGTGTACACTCTGCAAGTCCTTAGGTAACTGTTAGATATTGCTGATGGTGACGACTTTCAAAAGAAGAATCCCTAAGTCCCACAAGCTTTAACGATCTGAGATTCTAAAAAGTGACTACAATGTGACATTGGAATAAAATGAGACAAAGACACAAGGAAAGTGGACACATCCCCAAGCTCAGTCCCTTCCCTCCAGAGAGCGTCTGCCCCAGCTCTGGCCTGGGGGGGGCTGCCTTCCTTACCTGGCTCCTTGCCAGCCTCAGGCGAGTCCCAGCTCTCTGCCTGTGCACTGTCTGTGCTACTAGCAGACGCTGGCTTTAAAAAGTTAATTCTAAATAACAGTGGATTTCTTCATGCTTTTTATTTAAGTGAGGGGAAAGAGACATTAAAGGAGAAGCGGAAGGAAGCTTTGAAATAGTTGAATAATGAAAGTTAGACCTTGGATGGTGAGTTACAGCCTACAAGGTGCTGTTCACGGAAGGAGACGGGGCTGCAGCATGGGACTGGGAGGGGCTGCCCCGGGGACTGCTGTGGGCCCTGGCTCGGTGCTCAGAAGGCGCACGGCGCTCCGCGAGCCTGTCATCGGGGCTAGCCACCATCCCTCGCTGCGTGCTGACCATGACTCTTATTACTGCAGCTACTGCCAATGCTGTCGCCCGCTGACGGATGGGCTCAGGCAAGAAACTGTATCTGGGCAGTGACTAAAAAAACAAACCAACAAAGACAGAGCGGCGGAAATCAGCCCGGGAACACTGTCAGCCCAGCCGAGGAGGTCCTCCACGACCACTGCAGTTCCTACCTGCCAGAAAGTCCACCTCTCCCCGTGGAATAGGAAAACACACACTGCGGCGGCGTGGTTTTTAAAATTTAAGCACGTACAGATCCTTCACACAGGAGCATCAAGGAGCTGCGGAGGGCCCTGCCTTTCCAAGGAGAAGGGAGCAGAGCAGGACGGTGGGGAAGTGCCGCAGATCCCGACCTACACCGGCTTCTGCGGCAGGTTTTCAAAGGTTCGGTCCAGGCTGCGCCTGCTGACGAGGAACAGCCTTACAGCCCTGGGCTGGGAGCGCACAGCAGCCTGAGGCAGGTGCTGTGACTCAGAACCGACCTGCCACTAGCAGCCAGGAATGTCTGCTTGCTGAAGGGGACAAACTGCCCTTCTGCTGGGATCTGTCCCCACCCGCAGCCCCAGGCTGACCCGAAGGGATGTGAAGACCCAGCTTCAGGGGCTGTGCAGTGGTCCCCACTCCCGAGCAGGGCTCTCGCACCCTGCCCTCCCGGCTCAGTGGGTCCTCCTCTCCCCTCCTCACGTCACCCCAAAGTGCCCCCTCCTCCTCCCTTCTTGGGCTGAACAGTGACATAATTATGAAAGTGAACTTGGTTGTCCACAGTGGCCATTTACTGCAAGGATAACATGCAGCTTCCCTGGAAAGAATCTCAGCATCTCCAATGAAGCTGTTTCTCTCTCGTCTCCCGTCTTCCCACCGTCACAAACCCTCTTGGAGAGCTGGCTCCAGAGACCTCTGTGCAGCTGCCAACCTAGGACGACTCCCCCCTGGGGATGCTCTCCCAACAGGGGACAAGCACCGAAGGAAACTGGCAGAGAAACCGTCTCTCTATCAAATCAGCCTGTCTGAACCCACTCGCCCCTTTGAAAGAGAGGGTCGTCAGGGTTGACAAGTCTTGCCTGCAACTGGGAGCAATTCCAAGGCAACTGGGGGCCTTCCAGTGTTGCTTCACAGACACAAAGCAGGTCAAATCAAGATTCTTTTCAAGAAACCACAGGCATGAGGCTCTGAAGACTGGAGCCTTCCCACATCTAAGGCTTCACTGGGGGGCCATGGCGGAGCCGGGCCGGGCCTGCAGTGGAGCAGGGGCAATCGGGGTCGGCAGTCACCGCTCCTGCCAGGGCAGCAGGCCGTCTCCACACTGAGGCGGGCTCCCTCTGCCAGCGTCAGCGGGCAGGCCGTTTTCAGAGCACATCTGAAGGGGGCACAAGATGACTCCCCCTCCCCCACCATCCAGCTGAAACTCATGAAGCTTTCCTGGACCAAACGCCCATCTTAACAAAATATCCCGCCACCCAAATGGGCAGAGCCACTTATTAAGAGCCCAAGTGGGAAAGGGGAATCTGAAGATCTCCAGATGGACCTATTTTGGGGGATACGTGGCCCTGGCTCTGAGGCATTAGGCTTTCCAGGCCTCCACTCACAAGAAGTGATGAAAGGGAAGGAGAAATTCCTCCCTGGGCCCAAACATAGGATTCCCTGGGAATCCTGGGGGCCCAAGCCCAGCCCCCTCCCCCAGGCTGCTCCCGGCACGACAGGAGGAGGGTCAGCACGTGACCCAGGACTCACTTGGTCCATTCAGGCCAAGCTGGGGGCAGCAGTGCTGGTCTGGAGGACCCACAAGCGAAGACCCCCTTGGCATCAGGTAACATTGCCTCCTTGTGCAGAACCAGCAAGGCATCGAGAGAGGAGGTCTGCAGTGCAACATCCTTCCTCCCGTCCCAGGATGCTACTGGCAAGGAGCAGAGACTCACAAATGTGTTCAGTTACACCGTGAAATTGGAGCAGGGGCTATCAGATGAGTTTTGTGAGAGGTGAACAGAGGCCGACTTTATCGCAAAAACTGCCTTCCGGGGCCCAGCACACGCCTCGTGCCCCAGCCCTGGGCTGCCCGCCTCCCTGGGGAAACCAACAGCAGCCTCTGTTCCAGGGCGTGACCACGCCTGTCCGAGGATGAGCAGGGCAGACCGCCCGAGCAGGGAGCAAGCGGGCCCGAGCTCGTCTTTAGAGGAGACTTGAGGCACACGGTCACAGGTGACTGGCCTGAGGTGACCCTAGAGGGCACCCTGTCTCCTGGTTCCACGTGTCTTACAGCCCTGTGACCTCGAGGCGGCCTTGTCTGCGAGAAGCTGGTGAGGGAAAGGAAGAAAAACGCTGCCCACTGAGGTGCAGGCCCCAGGGCAGGTCCTTCACACGCAGTGTCACGTTGTCGCCATGGCTGTGCCACTCGCAGATAAGGAAACCAGACTGCACGGGGTGAGGCATGTGCCTGAGGGCCCCCCCCACCGGCAGCAGGATGAGCTCGAGCCCCAAACACCTCCCTCGCCACCACACCTCGGAGCCAAATCCCTCATTCTCTCCCTCTGTCTGCCGACCTCCCCCTGTCTGTCTGTCCATCACTAGTCACAGACTGCCATCACCACGGAGGTGGTCTACGTCTGGACCGCTGCCCACCCCAAGAAAGCAGGATGATGAAGTGAACAAAAGGCTTAAGAAGTTAACTTTGAGTTTAAATCTCCTCTAAGATCGAAAGTACAGCCTACAAAAGCCAACGTCAGCTCCTTGGCAGGAAACATTATCAACTAATTCTCCTTTTTCTCAAACACTGGGTAAGGCGCGGTTAGGAAGGTTAGCCCCGAGGCTTGTTTCTGCAGCCGAGTGAGTCCTTAGTCCCAGCAGTCAAGACTAGTCAGTCCTGGCCACGGGCTCGGAGGCAAGACGACGCTCAGAACCTGGGGGAGGGAGGGGTCACCGGCCCTGAGCTTGGCTCCCGAATCTGTGCGGTTTCTTCCCCTGCAGTCACTCAAAGTGAACTATGACCAGTGAGACCAGACTTCGGTGAGGACGCTGAGGCAGGCCTGTGACTGTTAATAAATTACTCCAGGGGACTTCTGGTTTCTCTCTGGAGCTGCCGGTGTCTCTTCGTGACCAGCGCTGTGTGTCTGCCGTGAGGATGTACATCACACTGGAGGCTGGGCCTCCCTGCTAGACCCTCACTACCACTGGCAACACCAGGGGAATGTTCCAGAGGAAGGTTTCCAACATAAGAGAGCCTCAAAACTCCACTTTAGTTCTGTAAGTTGAAGGCCTTCACAAAGACAATGACTAACTATGCAGACCCACCTCATTTACCCAACTGCACATTCTTCATCCAACTCATGTTTCTAAGTTCTCCCAGATCCAAGATGCAAACTTCACAATTTTTTTTTTTGAGGAAGACTGGCCCTGAGCTAACATCTGTGACAATCTTCCTCTTTTTGATTGAAGAAGATTGTTGCAGAGCTAACATCTGTGCCAATCTTCCTTTATTTTGTATGTGGGACACCATCTCAGCATGGCCTGATGAGCAGTGCGCAGGCCTGTGCCCAGGATCAGAACCTGTGAACCCCGGGCTGCCAAAGCAGAGCACGCAAACTTAACCACTACACCACCAGGCCAGCCCCACGAACTTCACTTTTTAAGAATGAGGCAACAGGATCAGTGCACACTTGTCTTTTTTTTCCCAAACCAACTGTTCCCACTGTTGCGCCTGTGTCTGGCGTCTGTGTCTCTGTCCAAGTGCATGTGGCACAGGGAAGCGACAAGGGGTCGTGGGCTGAGGGTGTGAACTCTGAGGAC